TTTCACTTATTTTAATTTTTTCTACATAGTAAGTTTATCTACAATCTATAATATTTCCATATAAATAATTATATTTTAGCTTATTTGTGGCACAGTGTAGCGGCGAGCCGGATCTGGCCCGCGGGCCATAGTTTCTTGACCCCTGCTTTGGGGCATCGTGAGAATCATCTCGTAAATTTTAGATTGTGGGATTTTCGCCCACACTTGCTTCAAAACTTGGAGTAGATCCCTCTTCGAAGTTGGTTTTTTGGTTGTTTCTTGACTTGCCGGTCGAGTAGGGCCCAGAGGTTTTGGTGGGGTTCATGTCAGGAGATTGGCTCGGCCAGGGAAACTTCTGGATACCATTTTCTTCCTGCCACTTTTGGTTGTTTCTAGCAGTGTGACACGGTGCTTCATCTTCCTGGAACAACGTTGTGTTCTTGTCCACGAAACCCGAGGAATAAAGTGGCAAGAGTCCTTCCTCCAATACTTCGACGTATTTCGCAAAATTTATATTGCCAATGCACTCCACTAAGCTCGATCTCCCACCAACCCAAACAGCTCCCCAAACCATCACGCTGAAACCACCATGCTTCACAGTTGGCTGCAATCTGTTGAGCCAAAACTCTTGCTGAGGCGTTCTCCAGACCCATATCCTTCCACTGTCCGAAAATTGAGCGAATCTTGATTCGTCTGAGAACAATACGGTCTTCCAAATGTCCAGAGGCTTGGTCATCATATCACTTGCCCACTTCTTTCGTCTGACTATGTTGGCAGGTCTTAATAAGGGCTTCTGTCTAGCTGCTCTGCAACAATAACCCAATCTGTGGAGAATCCGTTGAACAGATTTCGGGCTCATCACACTTCTGCAGTCGTTATTCTGTGATCCATTTCGATGCGCCTCTTAACAGCCCTTTTTGTCCTCTCCGATGGACCAGGACGACCCGGACGCTGCCCAGTTGTTTCCTTGCCGTGTTTCCTGAATGCACGATGATTCTGTTGACTGTCGAAAGCGGTATTTCCAAATTCTGCGAAATTTGCCGATGACGTATTCCACCATTTGCTTGACCAACTATCAATCCTCTAACAAAATCTGACAATTCGAGAGAACCTTGAGTTCTAGGCATGTTGTAGCACAAGATAATTAGTTTACGGGCCATTTTCATTTATTTAGTGCTCTGTGAACACAAATTAGTTAAATGACGAAAAATTAGGTGTCTATTAACTTGTGACCACTCGGTGTACATTCATATACATGATATTAGGAAAATACGTAGGTTCAAGAAATCAATTTAACACAAAAAATACGATACCCTATAACTCAAGTACTTTCGAAAGGTGGACTTCTCTTCTTCAGGGGGAAACTGAAGAAGAAAGGTCTATCTTTTGAAAGCAATCAGGCATCGTATTTTTGTATATCCATATACACTCAAACAAAACACAATTCCCTGACTATATGTGGAGAAAGTTTATGTTTTTAGGTGTATCAGTAGTAAAAGATCTAACAAAGAATATGTGGCATTCTAAGTGGAGCTCTCGTTACTCTGCTAAATCAGGTGAGTATTCTTACAAAACAACTGTTACGTCTCCGTTTGTTAATTGATTTTCCGTAACTTCGTTCCGACGAAACTTTAGCGACACAAGTTCTTTCTTAAATAAAACTGGTTTATTCTTTCCGAATATAAC